TTATTAAACAGAGAAGAGAAAATGGTTAATAAAACTTTCACTGGCGGCAGCTTATTTGATTTAAATTCTAAAAGTTGGTCATGATATCAAAGCACTCTTCGAAACCGAAATTGTCTACATTTATAAAAATCGTGTCAAAGAGGTAAGAATTTTTTTATTGTTTATGAAACATTTCCTTAGAAATTATTACAAATTTGTGAAATTGAATATACCTAATAACATCGAGCATTTACGACTACTTATACCATCATAATTTACTTCGGTATTTTAAAATGTTTTTTATAAATAGCTAGTTTTCACGTTTAATAATCAATAATCGACAAATTCTGCCTGAACAAATCTAATATACAAATTTTTGTAATATGTTATTCGTAAAATTTGTTATTAAAATATTGGGACAACAGAATTTTGAATATTAACATATTAATATCGCTATCTACAGATTTAAACAATCCAAAAATATGACAACTCCGACCATTGAAATAGAAGATAATTTAAATGATAAGTATATATTATTTTATTATAAAAATACCGTATTTACATTTTTTATTTATTTTCTTAAACACTTGGATAAATTACTCAAAAGAAAATTGCTAAAGTATTACAATTTTAATAAAAATATTTTATCAACAAAAAAATAATTCAACAAAATAGTTTTAAAAAACGTCAACTTAATTCATTTAAAAAATATTGAAAAATAATAACCTCATGATTAAACAATAAGTAAATATCATATTAATTGAAAATTAAATAACCTACTATAGCACTTTTCTAAATTTTCATTTAAATGTAAATTCAATTAATATAGACACACATATTTTTTCAAAAATTTCTAAATAATAAAAAATTCTTAAAAATAATATTACAGATCTTCCACCTATTGATGTACAAGAAAAAAATAAAGACAGGGAAATGAATGGTAAGTTTAATTAAGAAACCAATAATTAATTTTTTAGATTTAATTAGTAGTAAAATCAAAAAATTGCAAAAATTAAGAGTTTATTATTACTAAAATATATATACAATAACAATTACTTTAAATAACTACTAATAAAATTCTTCCCATTACTTTTCGAGATAAATAAGAGATATGGCTAGAAACTTTCTACTTCTGCATAACAATTTTTTATGCGAAATAAGCCCAGATATAATGACAACATTCTATATACTATATATACTGTTTTTTATTTAACGTCTAGATAAAATTGAAGATTTAAAAAAAAAATATCCAAAACATTAACAAAAATGAATTTCTACTAATTTATTTCCTCACGTGCACCAAAAAACAAATCAAATTAATTTTTCGCTAATGAACCTTACCCAATCACATTCATATCACTCACACCTGTGGTCCTTTGATCGGCGCCTTCGACATAAAATTTTCAAAAGAATTGTTAGAAAAGCGAAGTCTAACAACAAACAAGCTCCATAAGTAATATCACTATAAGCAAAATAATACAATAAAAAAAAACAAAGAAAAATAACCATACAACATACCAGAAATTGGTTCCATTGTATGGATTAAGTGTCTAGTGAACGTTATAAGTGTTTATTCGTTATCGGTCCCGCGGTTTTTTCCTGTCCACGCCCGTATGGTGGCCGGATAGGTCCGAATGGTCCCCGGGGGAAGCGAGGGAAGCCGTTTTTCATGATCGGTCGAAGATTTTTGAATAAAGTTTAATTGTTGTTTCTGCTCTCCTCGGAGGAGATGGATCTATCCAGTCCCTTTTAATTAAGGCACCCTCCAGGATTATAAAGAAAGTGTCAAACTATTTGTGTAAGTGGCCGAGTGACCCTGGACGATTTGCCCAATAGAAGTAAAAGAAAAAGAACTTTATATCCATTTGTTTTTAATATTTTTGTTCTGCAAATAAAATGACAATAACAAGTTAATCAAACCCCTTGCAATAACTTGAAATAAAAAAAATCATGGAAAATAGTATAATCTTGAAATCACTACTGTTGCTTAGGTACCTAATAATGTATTTTCTGTAGGTTTTCTTTTAGTATAAATTTAAGGTAAAAAACAAGTTTACACCAGCTTAAATGTTCTTGAAACTAGTATAACACAAATAACTAATACAAAGGACTCTACAACAAGCGAACTAAACTTCTGTTATACTTATCAGCTACTAATAAAATTTAAAATACAAAGAAAATAATAAATTGCAACGATATATTATATATATATATATATATATATATATATATATATATATATATATATATATATATATATATATATATATATATATATATATATATATATATATATATATATATATATATATATATATATATATATATATATATATTCTCACGTATTGATTCACGGATGGAAAAATGTCATGACACTATACTCCGGGATATCATCCGTTCGCTCGTTGAACTCCGACTGGAATCCTGCAGACGTTTCGCCAAAACCTCACTTGGCATCTTCAATGCTCGCGCTCCGAAAAAGTGTTCGAAGTGTTTTCGGAGCGCGAGCATTGAAGATGCCAAGTGAGATTTTGGCGAAACGTCTGCAGGATTCCAGTCGGATGCAGGATTTGCAGGATTCCAGTCGGATGCAGCATTCCAGTCGGAGTTCAACGAGCGAACGGATGATATCCCGGAATATAGTGTCATCATATATATATATATATATATATATATATATATATATATATATATATATATATATATATATATATATATATATATATATATATATATATATATATATATATATATATATATATATATATATATATATATATATATATATATATATACAGGGTTTTTCACTTAAAACTCCGCACGCTAATAACTCCAAAACGAAAAGAAATATTTAATTTATGTAAAAAGTAGTCAAAGTGTGAGGTCAAGTAGATATTTCTTAAAGGTTCAAAAATGCGACGCCTGCAAAGAGCTGGGCGTCGCGACGCGTCGAAAAATTATTCGATTGCAGAGACTTTGGAAATACGCGCATACAAAAGTACATATTATTTAAAAACTTTTTTGTTATTTACTCAAACTTATTTACTTTACCCGTTTCTAAGTTATACCGATTTAAAGTAAACATTTCTTGATTAATAAAAAATGTGATTAACGCTTATTTTTACAAGTATGCCATGAATGTTAGTTGCTATGGCAACCATTGTTATCGCAGTTGTTTTAAGTGCAATTACAAACAATAGATTTCAACTATTTTAGTATGATTTTATTTATTATTTTTTATCGATTTAGTTCTGATAACATGATAAATAAATGAAAAAACAGTAAAATACCTACAAGTTAATAACCAAAATTATTATTGCAATTAACTACATAATAAGACATTTCAAAAATTTTGTTCAAAATTATGTCCATCTGCTCGAACACAACTATCAAAAACTTTTAACAGATGAGCTTGGGTCACTTGTAGGAGAGTCCTTCTTGTGATAGCGGCACACGCTGCACTAATTTTGTTAATGAGATCAGCCATATCTTCGATAGGTTCTTCATAGATAACGTTTTTTAGCCCCAAAGAAAATAATCTGGTGGTGTAATGTCCGGGGACCTCGCCGGTCACCTCTCTCTTCTCGGTTCAAATACCTCGTTACTATTTGGGCATTATGTGCAGGCGCTCCATCCTGCTGTAGCCACATATTCATTCTAGTATCAAGAGGCACTTCTTCTAATAGTTCCGGAAGTGTAGTTTGAAGAAATCTTAAATAGCGATCGGCATTTAAAGTTCCTTCGTAAAAGTAAGGTCCAATAAAGAATCCATTTAATATGCCGCACCAAACATTGATACTAAAAATTCGTTGGTTACCTCTTTCTGTAATCCAACGAGGATGGTTTTCGGACCAAAAACGACAGTTGTGTCTATTAACGATTCCATTATTTTGAAATCGACTTTCGTCGCTCCATAAAATTTTCGAGAGAAAATTTGCACCTTGGCTAAAAAAATCGGACAATATCGCTAAGAAACACATTCTTCTAGCATAATCGCCTGGTTCTAGTTTATGAACTAATTTACTTTTGTACGGGTGAAAAGAGTTTCTATGTAGAATTCTCCACGAAGAACTTATGGTAACACCGGTATTTTCTTTTATCTCTGATAGGGATATCTTGGGGTTATTATCAACCTGCTGAATTACAGCAGCAGTATTTTCATCATTTGTAGCCGTCCTGTTCCTATCTCTTTTAGGTTTTATGAAGCTACCATATTCTCTTAAGTTTTTACATAAACTTAAAAAGGTTTTTGCATCGGGAACTCTTCTATGCGGATAACGCCGTGCGTAAACTCTTTTTGCTTCTCTACAATTGCATCTGCATTCTCCAAACACCAGTAACATGTCTACTTTTTCCTCATTGACCATTTTCACATAACAATTCTTAGTTTTTTTTTAACCGAACAAATTTGGATATTTCTCGTGACAAAATGTGACAATTTTTTGATACAGCAATAACAACTTACGTTTGTAATTGCACTTAAAACAACTGCGATAACAATGGTTGCCATAGTAACTAACATTCATGGCATACTTGTAAAAATAAGCGTTAATCACATTTTTTATTAATCAAGAAATGTTTACTTTAAATCGGTATAACTTAGAAACGGGTAAAGTAAATAAGTTTGAGTAAATAACAAAAAAGTTTTTAAATAATATGTACTTTTGTATGCGCGTATTTCCAAAGTCTCTGCAATCGAATAATTTTTCGACGCCTCGCGACGCCCAGCTCTTTGCAGGCGTCGAATTTTTTAAATTTTAGGAAATATCTACTTGACCCCACACTTTGACTACTTTTTACATAAATTAAATATTTCTTTTCGTTTTGGAGTTATTAGCGTGCGGAGTTTTAAGTGAAAAACCCTGTATATATATATATATATATATATATATATATATATATATATATATATATATATATATATATATATATATATATATATATATATATATATATATATATATATATATATATATATATATATATATATACTCATACATTCATCTCTATGAAGCCCGAGATATTGATATGTCGTTGTTTAACCCTACCCTAGATTTCGTATATGCATCTCTGTAAAGCCCAAGTCAAGATACAGGATAAAAGAAATGAAACGTTCGCTGAAGAGCCCTATTTCTATTTATAGACATAATTGTCTGAAAATCGTGTGTGGTAGCGCATTTTCTGTGATGATTTCGCTGTTTTTGTAACTGGTCGTTTTTTATCGAGGTAAGTAAGTATTTAGCGGTATCTGGCGTTGTTTGGGGTACAATATAATTTATTATAGTGGCTCTAAAAATAAAATGTTAAATGTTATAAGACAATTTGGTCTTACACCAATTACAACTAATGGTGCAACTTTTCGTGTTTTTTTTTGTGAAAGAAGAAAGGTTTCAATTATGGCTAATTTAAAGTAACACTTGGCACTTTTTCTCGCAGCAGTGATGCGATTCTACATTTTTAAATGGCAATAATGCGAAAAGTATAAACAATTTCGAATAGTCACGTTTTGGAATTAGGGGATGAATAAAGGCTTCAATAAATTTTTAAATGAAAGCGAAAATTTATTAATTTAAGTAGGATGTCCATTAAGTGAAGAAGTTAGTAGAAGTGAATGAGGAAATCAAATATTGATAACTAGCATAATTTAAAAGCAACACCCTGTTTTTTATTTTGGTACCGGATTTTTCAAATAGAATATAATAGGGTTATTAAGATATTTAAGTAAGTTAAGATATTTTGTATTTTATGAAATATAACAAGAGAAGTGAATAGTTAAATTCATCATGTACTTTCTCTATGTCTTAAATCAATTTTGAAGTCTACTAAATAAATGAAAAGCAAAATACTAAATTGCTCACTACTACAAATTTAAAACTGTAATAACCATGTCATCGGAACATTTAAAATTATTTGCTTCATAAAAAAATCTATTAAATATTGTTCATGCAAAAGAAAATAACTTTTCGGAAAAATGAAGGAAATTTTTAATTCTATATAGTGCGGTCAGTTGTGCAACATATGGGAAAATTGTTTATTAATTGCATATTCTATAGCCATTTTAGGCGAGTTTAAGTTAAATAGTGTACAAGGTTGGTCATAAAAATATAAAATTTTCACTGAATTTTTTTTTCCAAATCTCATTAGGGAAAGTATTTTCGAATTAAAAAAAAACAAGAATATAAAACAATATAATTTTAATACTTTTAGCGTTTTTTACATTGGGGAAACTATGCCGTATTGGAAAAATTTCCATACACTCTTATAAACTGTGACATTTTTGGCAGGGAATTATACATAATATACAGTAGCTTTGTCATTTGATACGGAATATTTGGGCTAGAGTATTAGAGAGAGTTATTAGAGGTTTACAAAATTATATTCTAAAATTTCTGGGTGTGGTACATAGTTTTAAACTAAATTTGCAGGAGCATCTAGATATTGATCGCTGTATGTCAGATTTTAGTTAATTTGTTATAAAAAATTCTGAAACCATCTAGTTTTAATTTTTTACGTGTATTTTTTTTCGAAATATTGCGGTATTCATGTCTTACCTGATTTTCGTTAGACAAATGTTTCAGATGAACAACTGGAAAACAAAAGTGATTTTGGGCATGGTCATGACAACCGATAAAAAGTTATTAGATCTTCCAAAATATGAAACTACAAAGGGTACAACATCGTACGAACGCATGCATATACAGGAAAAAGAAAGAAGGTTATTGGGAGTTGAAAAATCTCAAAAATGGTTAACATATAATACACTACGTGAGGAAAAACTCGAACTGGAGAAGCATATGGTGACCGTATCACACATTGGACAATTGGACGGCACTGGTTATCAATGTCGAAGTATTGAAGGGAGGAGTAATGCACAGGAAAAGAACCATGAGGAAACAGGAAAAGGAAGGACTGAGAAACACACAGAGAAAGAATTTAGAGAAAAAAACACAGGAAACGAAAATAGCAATCGAACTGAAAATACGGATATTACATATGAAGTGGACAAGGGACCTGTAGCTAATTCCTTAGTAGCAATAGCATCAAAGAACACCCCAACAGAAAGTGTATTAATTGAATTAAAGACGCCAGAATATGGCGCCGGTGTCACCTCAAATTTACTTGTTACCTCGAAAAGTTTAGCCCAATTTAATGACAATGCTGAAAAATCTTTTGCAGATGATATGGAACAAGTAAAAATTAAAAGGAATTATAAAAAATCAAAATTAAGAGATCACGAAGAGGAATATTCTGAAATAGTACGTAACAAAAATTTGCAAGGGCAGGTGGAACAATTTACAGAAAAAAAAGAAATTCAAAAAAAAGACGGATAAGGAGAAAATATGGGTAATATAATTAAAAGGAAAACACAAAAAGTGATTAAGGAATCAAAAGGGTCTAACAATCAGAAAGATTACTATAACAGCGAGTCATCATTGACAGACATGTCAGAGGAATCATATGAAAGCTCGGAGTCAGAATACATTCCTGATACAACAGATACAGAAAATGATGATAATTTCATTAAAAGTACATTTTTGAAGACTCCAAGAGAGAAAGATAATGTCCAATTAAATGGTTCAGATTTACCATCCACTTCCACGAGTTCATATAAACCGAATATCAATACAGATAGAACTATTGTCAATTTCGGTAAATTTGTAGCGACGGAGTCAAAAATAGAAAACTATACAAACAGTAGGCCGTGGACAAAAAAAATACATGCGCATATTGCTTCAGAGATGTAACACATTTTTCTCGACACATTTTAAGAAGACACAGAAAAGAAGGAGCTGTAAAGGAACTATCCTCAATAAATTTAAAGAGTCCGAAGAGAAAACAGCTTATTAATGCTATACGCCGGCAGGGAAATTTTGTCTCAAACACAAAGACGAATATCGTTCGTCCCGTCAGAAGACCAAAAGCGCAATACAAAAATGACATAGAAGTTAATTCTGAGGAATTAAAAGAGAGATACGTTATTTGTCAGAGTTGTTTGGGATATTTTAGCAGAAATTATCTGAGACGACATAGAAAAAAATGTGCAATGAGAAACGATGTTTCAAAATTAAGTAGAGAACAACATTTATCACAGGCCCAGATGTTTGCGATTTGTACGAAAGGTGATGGTGAATTTTATGAATCGTTAAGAATAAAAAGAGAGGTATTTCCATTTATGAGAAATGATGACATATCTAGAACTGCCATAGAAGATCCTCTTATATGTTTTTACGCTGAAAGTTTACTTCGCAAACACAAGCGGATTCAAATAAAAAATGTTATCTCCAACAAGATGAGAGAGTTGGGGCGTTTGCTTTTAATTATTAGATCGGCAACAGGAACAAACACATTTTTTGATGCAATGAAGCCAGAAATGTTTGACCATTTTGTGACGGCCACCAGGGTAATCAGCGGCTATGATTCCGAAACTCGAACATTTAAAGCGGGTAGTTTAGCCCTTCATATGGGAACATCTTTAAAACAAGTGTGTGACATAGCAACAAAGTTAGTTATAAAGAAAAGCAATGTGTTATCTTATGACAACCAAGAAAGCACCTTGAAGGAGATAAAATGGCTCAGAAATTTAATACAAAATCACTGGAACTCTGAAATTTCAAGTTTAGCTTTAAAAAATTTAAATGAAAAGAGGCATGAGAAACCTACTTTCTTGCCTTTGACAAGCGATGTTATTAAATTTCATAAATATGTGAAGGAAGAAGCTAACGATGCTAAAAATAATTTGTTACGAGAAAACAAACAGAAGTTCGAATATAAGCGTTTATCTGAATGCGTTTTGGCTTTGACTTTGTTACTAAATCGAAAAAGAATCGGTGAAATACAATACTTAACAGTAGATAGATATAATCACTCAATACCGCAAACTACTCAGGAAGAATTTTTATTAACGCTTTCATCAGTCGAACGAAAATTGACAAGTGCGTTTAAAAGAGTGATAACACCGGGGAAAGGCAGTAAACCAGTGCCCATTTTGTTTTCAAAAGATATGCAAAATTCGATAGAATTATTATTACGTCTTAGAAATTTAAATATTTCTCAGGAAAATCAATATTTATTTGCAAATCCAAATACAGATACAAGTGCTTTAAGTGGATATCATACAATTCGAAAACTAGCTGAAAGATCAGGAGTTGTTGACAAAACATTATTTACATCCAACCGTTTGCGAAAACAAATAGCTACCATTCTCCAAGTGCTAAATATTACGGAAACCGAGTTCGAGCAGATTGCAAAGTTTATGGGACATACCAAAGACACACACGCAAGCTTTTATCGGTAAGCACTAAATTTGTTGCATACATATCTTCTGGATTTCTCATGGGTCGGATGTTGACTGTCTCGCTGACGTTTCGCCAAACATGCTGCTGGCTTCTTCAGAGCGCCATCTGAAACTGATTTGATGAGTGCTCTGCTTGCACCTCAAATACCAGCCTGGAAGACAGGTTGAAACCTGTGTTGCGGTTTATGTTATTTGGGTGTTTCATTATTTCGTTAGACTGACTTGGATAAAAAAAGTGTTATATTTTGATTAGTTTTGCTATTTTTTGGTCTTTTCGAATAAAATCTGGTGTCCTATTTCGTAACGTTGTTCAGTAATAGTTGATTTAGTTATTTGTCGGTGTTGGTGTTTGACTGATCTCTGGTTTTCCATTAGTCTGGTTGATATTTTTCGACCTAATAATATAAACCGCGCCATAGATTTCTAGCTGCCTTTCATTGGGGATTTGGGGATCGTACCTCCCCATACCACTCGCCACTCCCCTTTAGGTATCTAATGTGCATGCAGAGCCATCACTAAATCAATTTCAGACAGCGCTCTGAAGAAGCCAGCAGCAATTTTGACGAAACGTCAGCGAGACAGAGTCAATGCCCGACTCAGGAGAAATCCACAAAATGTGTACCCACAAGTTCCACAGCCTGCGGAAGTATCTTTTCAAAAAAATTACTTATAGCTAATTGCATCGCCTTGTTATAATTTGGTTAAGTTAATCGGTAGTTGGATATTATATTATACTATTATTATATTATGACATTAACACTGGATGCTAGGAATTCATATAGACATACAAACGCTCCTCATGGAGCCCTTTTTATGTATTATTGTCATCTTGTGTAGCCCACTTTACGTTGTTGAGCCCGTACTCGTGCTCAACAGTGTCATATGTATGTATAACAAAATTATATAACGACTAGTACTAGATCACAAATTTATTTTCTAAGGCTTCCACAAGATATATACCAAACTGCAAAAGTTTCGAAATTACTATTAGCCATTAATAGTGGAAAAGGTCACAAATATAAAGGAAAATCGTTAGAAGAAATAGAGATATCAGAAGTTTCAGATTCCGACATAGGTAATGTTGTAATGATACTTATAAATAATAATAATTATATTATTTTAAGCTGAACCTACTCAAACACTCGAAAGAGAAGACACATGTGAAGAAAGTGCAACAAACTTTGATACGGACTTTGGAAAAAATGGTACGTTATTGTGTAGCAACGAACATATCATGGAATATTTTCATTATCTATTACGTCTGGCTTATTCGAAAATAAAATTACATTCTCGCTGATGAATCACATTTTTTATAGAAATTTTTATCAATGTCATTCGTATTATCCATGTACATAGTACATAGTAGTTTTTATATTTGTATAATTCTTCTGTTGTTATTACCCAACTAACAAATACAATATTCACATTTAGTATTAAGTAACCACACCAACGTGTCGATCAAGAAGAAATCAGTGCCGGCAAAAATAAAAGAAATTGGTAAGTAATCAGGTGAAATAAAAACATAATTGTATGACAACTGTTTCGAAAACACCATGGTTTTACACAGGTATTTGATAAAGACACAGTCTTGTCGAAACAGTATTAACATTATTATTAATTACATTAATTACATTAATTAAATTAATTAAATTATTTAAATTAATTTATTTAATTAAATTATTTAAATTAATGAAATTAATTAAAATAATTAAAATAATTAAATTAATTTAAAAAAAAATTAAAATCATGTGTTATTATTAAACTCGCAAAATGAATTTTCACAAAGAAATACGCACGCGATACCTAGTGAGGTAACATTCTTTAAAAAACCTTAACTAAATCATCAATGAAATGAAAAATCTCACCGGCTCTTAGACTAGGTATTATTTCTTTTATGATGCACGAACTATCGATAATTTTTTTGTTTTTTCTGTTTCTGTTTCTCAAGATAAAACAAGCAAGAAAAAAAAAATATATATCCCGGAGTATAGTGTCATCATATATATATATATATATATATATATATATATATATATATATATATATATATATATATATATATATATATATATATATATATATATATATATATATATATATATATATATATATATATATATATATATATATATATATATATACACATAAACGCTCCTTATGGAACCCGTTCTATATATTAATGGTATCTTGTGTAGCCCCTTGAGACGTTGTAGAGCCCGGGCGTGGGCTCAACAACGTTTTCCCTGTATATTCTCACCATTTGATTTCATTGGCTGTTGCCATCGTCCCACCTAAATATTTCGGGGGCTCATCAGCTACGCGTATATTCATAGGAAAACGTTGAAATAGTTCAAAGCATGCACCTATAGAGGGCGCCTTATGTAATACATACTTTTCGGATCTTGCTAAGCCCGCATTAAATATACGGAGTAGATATTATTTGCATCTTCTTTAGCCCTTCTAAATATACAAAATACATAATATTCGCATCTTGTTTAGCCTTTTTGCCGGTAATATACAGTATACAGTATTCGCTTTTTGAATGTTTTAAAGCCCCTCCTAAAACATACTCAGTGCATAGTATTCGCACCTTGTTTATATATATATATATATATATATATATATATATATATATATATATATATATATATATATATATATATATATACTTGCACAACTATCTTACTAGCCTCCATGCATACGACAGACGCACAAGGCTCCACCCTACCCACTGATATTTGACGTGTATACTTTGCGAATCTGAAATCTGAATGGTCGAATCTATAGGGGCACAATTAGAGGGGAAAAAAATTCGCAGAAAAAAATATACAAAAATTCTATATATGCAAAATAGAAACGGGCCTCCGGTTTTTACATGCTATTTTCTCCTCCGATGTATAAAAAATAATATATCCACTCGACGTATTTGCCTCTGGCGCTGTTGCCGCTACGTTCATCGTTCATAGGGGATACGTAGGATACCTATCTAGTTAGAATTATTGTGGTCAACAAAAATGTTTCAGTGGTTTAGTGGCCTCCGTTCTAGGTACAGCTCAGGTATGGATCCCAAAGGAACATCCTAGTAAGTATTTATTGCAAATGTCCTCACCACACATATTTTATTAAATATTTTGATTCGTATTTTAGCTCTCTGCGAAGTAGAGGACAATTTTTGGTGGAACTGGCAAAATATAAAGAGAAGCCTATCGAAGAAGGTAGGTTTTCTTTATTTTCGCATATTGTATCGGATGTAGCAGATAGCGTGCACAATATTATTTTCCGTTTTTTTTTTAATTATTTCCTTACTTGTAAGGGCTAAGCCTGATCCCAACTTGATTTTTTCCCACCGTATTATACTGATGATTTTATTCTATTCAATGGTTGATTTTAAATTTTTGAACTATTGAAAAAAAACGAAAAAAACCTAAAACGTTTTTGGTGGTTTATAAATATTGTAAACGTCATTTTTTTCTTAAATACACTTTAGTTTTATTTCTTTTTAATAGAATCTATTGCTGATAACAGTCCCTGTCCTACACTTTCGAAAGACTTTAGCATGTTCGATGATTCGGACGGAGATCCATCTTATGAACCAAACGATTATACGCAGGTATTGTGAACCATAGTTTAAATAGTTATTTATATGTATTGTTAGACTAAGAACTCTATTTACAAGTAAATCCTTTTTTAATGGGTTCTATAACTTAGAAAATAGAACTGTTCGTGCATTACCGACTCAAAATATATACCCATTCAAAATCTCTTGTTTTATGAACAAATCAGGGACATATCCTAACCTATTTTAAAACTTATTCTTAAATTTAACATAATCGCATATCATGTTTAGTAAATTTAGTATATCATTTCTTTTTAAAAGCAACCAACCAGTCAATACAACTGCTCGTGTAGAAGCAACACGTTTATGGATTTACCCAAACAGAGTCCGTTGTTGTATATGATCTCCGATGAAAATTTACAAGCTCCAACTACAAAAGTTCAACACTGGTTAGATCAGGGGGATCAATTAAATCCTGAATCTACAACAAATTTAGAAACATTACAGGAACAGGTTTACAATCATACTTCGGACACCTATAATGCTCGAGATGCCATGCGGGTTGATGAAATCACAGCAGATAATATGGTTCCTTCTACAAGTTTATTTATTTTGCAACCCGTAACTAATCAGAATGAAAGTCTGGCGCAGTTAAATCAAAACGTAAATATAACTTTTGTATTATTTTACACACTTTTTTAACCGCCACTTTTCAGTTAAATTTTTTACTCAAAATAATAGGGCATAATTTCATATGAACATTTAAACAACAAACAGATTTAAGAAAATAAATAAGAACAAAAATTTATTTAGATTATGTTATTAATAAAAATGTTTCGTGCATTTACCATGTATATACGATAATAACATTGTCAATTAAATTTTTATGTTGATTACTGCTATTGTAGGTGTTTAAATTAGTATTATTCAAATTTAATTTGTTAATAAGCCAATACATCTCCAGAGCTTCTAATAGGTTTATTTTCTACTTATTAAGGCAATATATAAAATGTCTTTAAAATTCTTGAATTGTAGCATGTAAAATCTAATATTCTAAAATCCTATTTCTTATTTATTTTTATTAGCGCTTTTATGCTCATTACTACGTTTTATGGAGCGTCTATCAATATAAATATTGGGCACACATTTCAAGCTATTTACATTTTTTATACTGCCTCAAAAAGTTGAAAATTAGATTAGATTTGATAAAGACACGGTCTTGTAGTAACAGCTGTCATATTTTAATAAATATGTATTTGTGAAAAACTTTTTGTGCTTATTGGAGAGATTTGTATCAAGTACAAGCACCCACAGGTCAACAAGCTGTTTTACATTAAGTAAATGTTTAAGCCAACGATGTTTGACGACGAAGATCGTGGAAATTTCTTATCGGTTACCCGTAATGCTCAAAATATAATAAACGTTGATGAGCTGAGAGACAAAAGTTTGATTGCTTCCACAAAGTCTTCATCTATTTTGCAACCCATGAGTAATGGGATGGAAAGTCTTCCGCAGTCAATTGAAAAAGTAAATATAACTTTTTTTTAATTGTTTTACCCGCGTATTCTACATAAAGATACACATTTTTTAAATAGCGTCAAAAAATAGATAATATGAATTTATTGTTTACAGGCAATTTTTGCGTGATTAAATGTTTCAGGTAACGAATGCCTTTGGCGGTAAAAAGAAGAAGGTTACGTGTAAATTTTGTCGGTTTGAAGTTACTAACTTTGAAAGACATTTGGAAAGAAATCATATAGACGAAAAGGAAGTTCGCGAATTTTTATCATATCCAAAAAAAGTAAACAAAGAAAGAAGGTTATTTCACTACTACGGAACGCAGGACACTTTGAGGACTTTCTGAAAGGTGCTGTTAAACCAATATACCGAACCAACAACAAATCTGCCCAAGAATACTACCCTTGTGCACATTGCAAGGGAATTTATACCAAAAATACCAATACTAATACCAAAGTCGGCATCGCAAAAATTGTTTATCGGTAAATATTAATGAGAAGTTTAAAAAAGAAAATCAGCTTTCTGCATCCCAAACATTAATTGCATCTGCTATGGACGAAAATAATACATTGCACAGATTGCGCGTGAAAGAAGAAGTGTTTAATATTATGAAAGCTGATAATATATCCTTAGTGGTTAAAACTGATCCACTAATTTGTCATTTTGGGGAGCAATATCTCAAAAAACATAATAGAAAACAGATGAGGTTAGAGTGTTCGAATAAAACGCGCGAACTTGCTAAACTTCTTATAGACGTCAGAAATACAAAAAGTGAAAATGGTCGCTTCACCCTGGTAGACCTAATGGATCCTGTGTTATTCGATCTTGTGGTAGAGTCGGCTAAGAGAATTGGTGGATATGATCCTGCCAGTAAAACATATAGAGCACCTAGTTTATCAGCTCACATAGGAACAACACTTAAGCAAGCAGGCGAATTATTAATACTAAAAAAAGATCCATCCATAAAGAGTACTGATCCCGAAATGAAAATAAAAGAAGTAAAACGCTTTCGAGATCTCATTGCTTCGCAGTGGACTACAGAGATTAGTAGCCTAGCTTTCAAAACTATGTGTGAAACTAAATGGAATAAACCAGCTATACTGCCGCTAACTAAAGATATATTAAAATTTAAAGATTTTGTTATTCAATGTGGAAATAAAGCTGCTGCTAATCTGAAAAACGACCCAAATAATAAAAAAGAATACAGAATTTTAACTGATGTGTGCCTAATATTAACAATTCTTTATAATAGAAAGCGTATCGGCGATGTTCAATACACTAACCTCGATACATATCTTCGCAACTTTTCTTCTATTAATCAAGATGAGTGTTTAAATGCTTTGACGGAATCGGAAAAAATTTTAACAAAAAATTATAAAAGGGTGGTTACTGGTGGAAAAGGCAACCGGCCAGTAATAATATTATTCCCACGAGACATTCAAGACTACATAAACCTAATGATCGAAATCAGACTAAAAACCAATTTTATTTCGCTGGACAACAGATATTTATTTGCTTACCCATATAGTAATCACTGACCAAGAGCAGATGTCGCAATAAGAAAATATGCGCAGAGAGCAGATTTGGAATTTCCACGTCAACTGACGTCCAAGAAGTTACGAAAACAAATAGCAACTGTAATGCAAATTCTAAGGTTAAGTCCGGAAGAAGCTGAACAATTTGCCACTTTTATGGGTCATACCGAAAAAACCCACAATGAATTCTACAAGTAAGTTTTATAAAGGGCTTTTCCCGCAAATTGTTACACTTAATCGCTAATAGCATTTCCCAAATATAGTTTACTTGTACGGAGAACGGATCTACCTATTAAGTAAACTGTACGCAATTCAATGCTTATTGACATAGGATTCAAAAATAACCTGAAACTATATTTCCATTTAGAAATATAATTTTGAAAGAAACTTCGTTTATTTTTAAAACCTTTATCTACCCATGTGGAGTTAGGACTTAAAACTGCGTCAATATGGAATTGAAAATAGAAAAGACAAAAGTTAGATTATTGATGTAGAAGTACAAAAAATATGCAATAATAATAACTTTTTTCTATCAATAAGCCCTGAATTACGTAGTCTTTACTTTAAAGGTAGGTCCATCCTTCTCGCTGTGTGAAAGGAAAATACGTAATTCGGCGCAAATTCAGTGTATTTGACGTAGAATAGGCCGCTTAAAGCTGAATCTGACTTTCCGACATTCGGCGAAAGTTCCAGTGGTAAGTACTTAAGTCGTAGAAAAAACTAGAGTAGACAATTCCCATGGTAATTATTACACGAATTACGGCATGACGTTAGCGAACTCAGATAGGTACTAATATCATTATGTAATATATTGTATATCATGTATTGTTAAATATAAGATATTATTTTGGACTGCCGCAAGACCTTTATCAAACGGCAAAAATTCCAAGCTATTAATAATGATGGATAAAGGGTGTGGAGCAGAGTATAAGGGAAAATCTTTAAATGAAATTAATATAAACCCAGAAATCGAATGCGTCGAATCTGATTGTGAATCTGCCAGTGGGGATGTATGCACCCCAGTTGAAGAGAACGCTTTACCTTTTACTGAGCAGCCGTCATCATCAACGGATGAAAAAACGTCAGGGAACAAAAAACGTTTGAATTAATTTCAAATTTTCGATTGATCAATATCTATGTTCGTACTGTTTTAGGTTCAAAGGATACCGGAAGAAGTTCTTGGACCGAAAACCAAGCTAATATAGTGTTAAAACACTTCAAAAATGACATTAAAAAGAAAATTGCACCCAAGAAGCATGAGTGCTTAGAACTAATTGAACAGTATCCCGCTTTGTTAAAAGAAAAAGGATGGATTCGCATTAAAACTTATGTTTACAATGCGTACCGTCAAAAATAGTTTTCAAGAAAATATCGTTTATTATTAATTTTTACAGTTGTTGTCCACGAAAAGTAGTGTTTTTTGATGTAGGTTTTTGTTAACATTATGTTATTATTACCATTGCATTTTACTTTAATTTGTATATCCTCAAGGAAATAACATATTTTGTCAAATAAATGGGTACAACTGGAACTCTATTCATAACTTTTTAAGCTTGCGTACATTCGAGTAGGCAGTCCTTTCTCTGCGATTGTGTTTCTGTAAGCCACCATATTATTAAAAATTGTTCAACAGAAATTTTCATTCTTTCTTCTTACCCTTACACAGTATTGGGTAGTCACTAGATGCTAATAAAACAATTTAATTTCAATATTCCCGTATTGGAAAAGCAATTTGTTTATATACTGATTTAGTTGCTTTTAAACTGATATGGGCACGACGGCAGCTTTGTGTATAGTATACATATATGAGTATACAAATCAGCCTCCGCACAAAATACATACTTATACGCCTCCGTATATGATGCGATATACCTATTTACCTCCGTACCATGTTGCCAACTTTCGGAGGTTTATTTGTACAAGTATATGTGGAGGCCACAGCAACTAGCAGACTCAAAAAACTGTATATGCCGTATATACCGGTGGCGCCCTCAAGTGTGGAATTCGTGAACCCGGTTGTATATCTGTATGTAACATACCTAGTGGCCTCCAGTCGAAAATTGGGGAGATGACTTCCTACAACCTATATTATTGAAAAAACGTCTTATACACAGAGATACATATTGGCCTCCCAAAAATCGCATTCGCCTCCGAAACGGAGGCGAGTTCATCAATTATGTTTCTCCAGCGGAGGTGTATATGACGTATTGCATATATATATATATATATATATATATATATATATATATATATATATATATATATATATATATATATATATATATATATATATAGGCGTATAAGTATGTATATATATATATATATATATATATATATATATATATATATATATATATATATATATATATATATATATATATATATATATATATATATATATATATATATATATATATATATATACATATATATTAAATTGTAAGGGCCGATGTTGAATGTGAACCACACCTAAACGCCAAGTTTTTTTCCGAATTTTATTTGACATTTCTCTATTTCAGACTTACTCAATTTGAACCATGGAGAGATACACAATCCAACAACGTGTTAAAGTTATCCAGACTTATTATGAAAATGGGCGTTCAAATCAAAATGCATATCGTGCACTTCGTGATTTTTTGGTCAATTTGATCGTCCAAATGTGCGTACAATCGCAAAAATCGTGAAAAAATTCGAGCAAACCGGGTCTGTAGAAGATGTGAGAACACCAGTGCATGCTCGTACAGCTCGTACTGCAGAAAATATTGCTGCTGTTCGCGATAGTGTGGCTGAAGAGCCGTCCACCTCAACTCGTCGTCGTGCCCAACAATTGCACCTCTCACGCTCGTCGTTGATAAACATTATACATAAAGACTTGCCTTTACACGCTTACAAGGAGCAATTGGCTCAAGAACTAAAGCCTATTGACCATTCCAAACGTCGTGAATGGGCAGAATGGTGGCAAGAAATGGCAACAGTGGATGGTCAATTTTCGAAGAAAATCATCTTCAGTGATAGGGCACATTTTCACCTCAGTGGATTCGTCAATAAACAGAATTGCCGCATTTGGGCGAATGAGAATCCAAGAGTGATTGTCGAAAAACCAATGCACCCCCAAAGAGTGACTGTTTGGTGCGGTTTATGGGCTGGCGGCATCATCGGGCCGTATTTTTTCCAAAATGAGGCCGGTCAGGCAGTTACTGTGAATGGTGTTCGCTATCGTGAGATGATAACGAACTTTTTATGGCCCGAATTGGAAGATATGGATGTGGACGATATGTGGTTTCAGCAGGACGGTGCCACTTGCCACACAGCTAACGAAACAATGGCTCTGTTGCGCAACAAATTTAATTGTCGTGTTATCTCACATAATGGCGATGTCAATTGGCCGCCAAGATCATGTGATTTGACACCGTTGGACTTTTTTCTTTGGGGTTATTTGAAAGAAAAGGTGTACACTCTCCCAGCGTCATCCCCCACCCCTTCTCCCACATGCTTGGACCCAGAACCCCATCCAGATATCGTACCCCCAGATCCGCCACCGAATCTCTTAGGGCAGGATCCCCCCTAGAGATACCCGACAGCCCAGACTCAGTTTTTGGTAGTGTGGCACCGGGCCAAGCCCCTACTGCGGGCTCGTCCTCCTCTGTATCTATCATCGAAGCATCAAAGGGGGCTCGGATACAGTGGACAGTGAAGCCTATATTGGTCACAAGCAAAAGGTCAAGAAGCGACTCGGACGACGAGGCGCCCTTGGTGCCTAAGGTACCTGGAACTGGCTAAACAGGAGGCCGCGCTTGGGTAAAAGATAAGATGATTAGGTTAACTGATAAGGATCCACGAAGGGAAGAGGTCGTAGAAATTGGGCGTCAATAAAAGAAGAATTGTTCGACCATGACAAGCCGGATTGTCGGCGGTTAGGAATTGTCAAATGTGCCATTGAAAAGCAACCGAGGGAATTGAAAGTAAAAAGTGTAAAAGTTCAAAAGGAGATTGAGAAATATTATCCGGAATTTAAATTTAAGGGCGAATAAAAAGTTTTTTTTTAATTGTGTGTATCGCGCATATTGTACGATTCGTATTGTAATTAAAAATAATAAAAAATGGTTTAAAGGTAAATTGTGTTAGTAATTAGTACACGCGGAATTACATATATGTAATAAAATTGTCATTAAAAGATTTCAATTTTTTTTTTAGTTTAAAGACAAAAATTAAAATGAAATCACTTTTTCAAAGAAAAATACTGTAAATAAAGAAAAAAAGATTTTTTCTTAATTTTAAAAAATAAATAAATTTTTGTTTTTGATTATTTATCGGTTAAATGAATTCGTTTACTATTTTTTGTAAATAATTTGTAATTATATAGTTCAAAATACATATTTTTTTAAGGAGAATGAGTGAAGAAAAAGAAAATCAACGGACCGATTTTATAAATGAGTTTATGTCATGCGCAATCTAATGAATGCAGGCGTTGCTTGTCAAGGGTTGTTAATTTGCTTAAGGAGGCAGGACGATGTGACAAGATGTCCAGTGAAATTTTAGAAACTCTGGACAAACGGGAATTGGTGATTCGTATAGAACTTTAATCAATTCAAAGACGTTCAGGAGACTTCTGGGTTCAATCATGTTAAAGTTTACAAGAACTTTTATTTACTATCAACAGAACGTGCTTAAAGTGAAACAAAATGGACAACAGAGAAAAACGAAAATCTTCACCAACCTTAGAAGAACTCGTGAAGGAATTACATCCAAAAGAAAAACCACTAAAAAACAGTAGAAAAGAAAAAACCACGAAAAAATACAACCAATAAATACAGAAGCGGAAATTAAAAATAAAACAGTAACCGCAAAACGAAGAAACACAAAAAACGCTAGAAAAACAACAAAAAGAACTCACAGGACAGAAAATACCAAAACAGCAGCCGACAACAAAAACCACAGAAGCCTCACAGGAATTGCAAAATCAAAACCCACAAAAAACAATAGAACAAAAACCAAAGGAGATCACGAAACAAAAACCACCAAAACAGCAGGCGACAACAAAAACCACAGAGGTCACATTGGAATAGCAAAGTCAAAAGCCACAAAAAACAGTAGAACAAAAACCAAAGGAACCACGAAACAGCAGCCGACAACAAAAACCACGGAATCCACACAGGAACCGCAAAATTAAAAGCCACAAAGAACAGTAGAACAAAAACCAAAGGAACCACGAAACAGCAGCCGACAACAAAAACCACGGAATCCACACAGGAACCGCAAAATTAAAAGCCACAAAGAACAGTAGAACAAAAACCAAAGGAACTCACGAAACAAAAACCACCAAATCCGCAGCCTACAGCAAAAACCACAGAAGCCACACAGGAACCGCAAAACAAAGGGCCACAAAAAACAATCACACAACCAACCGAACTGACAGAAAAAAAACACCGAATCAACAGCTAACACCAGAAGCCAAGGAACAACTTCCAAAAACCGAAATAGTAGAAACAATTAACGAAACATGTGGAAAATCCTTTTGATTCAGATGGCAAATTTGAATCAGCAGAAAAAGATTATACACTTCTAGGTAAAACTAAATTCATTATGCGCAACTATTTTTATTCAAAATAATTTAAAAAAATCGAATTTAGACTACATATATTTTTAGTTATATCCGAACCTTCACATACAATAACAAAAGACCAGTCATTATTACCAGAAGATAATAATGCACCATCCACATCCTCCACCATCCAGACAAAATCTGTTAGCCTAGCTTCACGTGAAATAGAAGTTCCAACACCTTTAAGCAGCGATTCTATTTCTCTTAAAAGGCTATATCCGGATGAGAAAAAAATATTAAATAAGCAAAAAGATAAAGTTGTTTTTGCTAAATCGAGTGGCGACTTGAATGCTCTTTTTAAGGAGAGGATTGTTAATGCCAAATTAGAAAGACAGCATTTAATAGACATCCACGAAATAAACAAACAAGAAGCTATTGAAAAAAGAGAAGAGGCGAAAATTAGGAGAAGTGGAGTTATCAATAAAAAGGGAGGAATTACGTCAACTTTTATTAAAAAACGATTAATTTATTATCAATTTATTAATTAAAAAATTATTCTAAATTATATTAAGCAATGCCTAATTGTTAATATGCCATATATTTTAGTAATAAAGTTAGTTTTGGTTAGTTAATAGGTTTCAATATAGTTATATATGTATAATAGCATAATATAATAAAACTATTTCATTCTGTAAAGTGACGCGCATTTCCCCTTATTTGTAAGTTTTCTGGTATATTTGCATCTCATTCTTCCACCAAAATTTCATCTAGGTTCTCTCCGAAATCAATTCCTATATTATATAAAACCGCACAAGCCACTACTATCACGCAAGTAGTTTCTAAATTAGTTCCTAGCCCTTTCGCCAAACAAGGGAAACGTCTTTTCCACACTCCAAATAATCTTTCTACAACGTTTCTTGTTCTAATTTGGCTCGAATTGTATAAAATTTCGGAGTCGTTTT